TATCTTGCTCGAGGATCATATGGAATAGTGACCAGGAAGTGTCTTACAAGATGCCTGGTACATATTAGATTGAATGCCACATGGTTTAAAAGGGATTCTGAGAGTCTTAGTGACTTTCCCTTTGCTGTGCTGCAATACCCGACACTTACAAGTGAAAGAAGGCGAGGTTCACATTGGCTCACACGTCAGTGCACGGTCAGCAGGCTCCAAGACAGAAATGGCACACTGGATGGGGCTGGCGCAGGAAAGGTGCTCCCTTCATGGTGACCAGGAAGCAGAGAGAAAGGGAGGAGGAGCCAGGAGGTGAGATGCACCCTTCCAAGTCACTCCCCCAGTAACCCGCATCTTCTGACTGCGTTTCCCTTCCTAACCCCACACTGTGCTATGAACACACCAGATTAATCCACATGAACATAGCACACCATGATCCACTGGCTTTTCTAAAATCCCACCTCTGAACATTTGAGACTGCAGGCACCCATTCTAGATCTATCCAGTAACACCGATGCAGAGCTCAAGTAGTTACGATGTGATTCGCTGGATCATTCTTCTGTATCCTGCGTACCATTTCCCTCCTCTGTGGTGAGTTCTTTTCCTCACACACTAACTTAGATTGCTTAGCACACCTTCCGTATCATACTATATCAGAGAAGTCACCAAAGAGAAAACAACCAGGATCTTACTTCTAGCTCAGAAAGGGAGAAAATAATCAAGTGAGTAAACAGATAGTGTGGCTAATGGGAGTGATGGAACAAGGGAAAGAGTGGTGTTGTTTTGCTTTTAGTACTGAGGGTAATTCAGACCTAAATGAAAGAGAAACAAGTTATGCACAGTTCTGGGGGAAGAGCATTCCAAGAGGAAGAATCAGATAACACATACTCTCTGAGGTAGACATGCTTGGCTGGTGGGAAGCACACCTAGAGGAGCAGGAGAGATTTGCAGAAGATAAGGACCAAAAGGCACCAAAGACCAGCTTTCACAGGGCTGTACTGGCTACTATCAGAGGTAGAATTTTTTCTTATGAGTTCAATAAGAAGCTTGGGAGTTGTGGATGGTCTGATTTAAACTGTGAATTATTCATTCTGTTTATTCTGAGGACAGGAACCTCGCTACAAGGGTCAAGGGCAGAAGCCAGAGACTTTCAAAGACTCTTGCAATAGTTCAATGAGAGCGGCCATGTAGTACATTTTACACTTCCTGTTCTGTATGAAGGAGATTCAGGAATGTGCTTTAATATCCTTGCTACATTATAAATTCTATGTGGACCGGGATTCCAAGGGACATATCCAAGTGTCTTTAGTTGGCTTGTCATGGCTACCTTGATGTTTGAAATTCATTCAGAACATTTACCTTTCATGACCATTTTGACTTTGAGGAAGACCCAGAAGTCACAAGGTGCTTGAAGTTAAAGACATCAGAACGAGCGAATAAAGAGATAAGCACGCACTGCCTTGTGTTTGCACACCTGCCTTTCCGTTGGATGACACGTACAACAGCTTTCCTGAGTGTCTTTCAAAGACTCTAGAACTGTTTCAGGAGGTGGTAAGAAGGATGGGGTGTATCTGAAGCAAGGGGGAGCATTTTGAGAGACATTATTGACAATGTATCTTTTATTCTATTTCTTAATTTAAACATAGACTGTACAGTTTGAATACCCATTGTATTTGTAGAGAGCAGAATTCATAAACCAAAAAAAAAAAAAATTTTGGTGCCCATAGAATACAAAAATAAACTGCTATCAAACTCCCCCAACAAGACTATGTATAATTTCCCTTCATACTTAATTCAGACAGAATGCACATCTCTCTTTTTGTGTCCTAAAGAAAGAAAAAAATGAGATGTTAGTGGAGAAAGAAAGAAAACATGAAAGTAAATGATCTAGCCCCATTACACACCAAGAATCATCATAGTAATGATAAAAACAAGAGGCCGGAGATGTAGCTCAGTGGCACAAGCACCTGACTAGCAAGCATAAGGTCCTGAGTTTAATTTGCAGTACAAAAGAAAAAAAAAACAATGATAAAAACATATCCAACATAGCACATATACACACTTGCATGTATTTGGTCTATTTTATGTGTTTTATACATTCACCCCACACTGAGCCTTAAAAATATGTATTTTCGGTATGTAAGATATAAATTTAGAAGGTAGTAATCAGTGCCTCAGCCTACAAGAATCTCCACTTGTAAAATCCCAGACAGCATACAGTAGTTTGAATCATTTAAATATAAACTCATATAGTTGGTCTATAAATGTACAAACAATTCAAAGAAGTAATAAAACATGTCTTTTGGGGCTGGGGATTTAGCTCAGCGGCAAAAGCGCCTGCCTGGCAAGCGCAAGGTCGTGGGTTCGGTTCCCGGTACCGGAGAAAAAAAAAAACTGTATGTCTTTTGTGTGTCTCATTCAAGGGGTCTTTCTAAAATGTAGCTTGAAAAGCTCAGGGCTAGGACCAGAGACAGTTATGAAATATTGTTATCCTACCCCAAGAGATATAGGGGACCAACTTTTCCCCCAATTTTTCCCAGTAAAGAAGCTAAATTCTGTTCTTCTGTGATGGCCCTTGGCATCCAAGAGCAAAAGGATAGAGCTTATGCTAAGACATACTGGTTAAGACATACTGCGGGTTTCCTGACCCCCACACCAAATAAAAGTAAAGCGGCTACTGTCTCTAGGGAAGAAGAAATGCCCAGCAGAGTACTCTAAACAGACTTTCATGCTACAATATCCATTAATAATTAATTTCTTGCTTCCTTTAGAATAGGACAGGTTAAGCAGTTGGTCACATTCAGTAAATAAGAAATTACTTGCAGTAATATCTGCAACATTCTAATCATCCGCCCCTGTCTGAAACCCATTTTAAAAGTCTTTGATCTGCATTACAGTGGAAAGGACATTGAATGTGGAAAAAGACTTGATTATATATTCAACGTTACCACCCTCTTTTTGTGTGGCTTGGGAAAGTCATTTAGCTTAAGCATCTCCATTTATTTTCTCGTGAGGAAGGGCATAGCGATCTGTACCCCACAGGGTTGTAACAAAGACCCAGTAGGATGAAAGGTGAAGATCACAGATGTATGGGTCACACAATAAGCACTTCATAAATGCAGATACTACATGATACACTGGAATTATCAGAGACCTGGAAGGGGTATTTCAGAGCCCATCCTACATCAGCACAGATGTGATCTTGTAAATTGGAAAATATGTCCCCTCATCTTTCTGCATATTATTAAGAATTATAATATACTGCGATTGTTTAATTATATCATTAAGTGGGGTTATTTTCTTCGTTAAATACATAAGGAAAAGGTTTTCAATTAACAATGACCTTTACCACTTCTTCCAGCTTAGATTCTGTAGCCGGTGAGGCTGACTGCAAATGAGATTCAGCAATGTACCTTGTTCTTACTTTTTCACCCACTGATTAGATTCCTCCAGTTGGCAGCAGTCCGCCCTGTTGCTTTCTAGCTTGCAATTTTGTAGCAATCTCAAACAGTGTGTTCAATCCCCCGAGGTACTCTGTGGAAATGCTGTCAAACTATTTCGATGTATGTGTGTTTTCATTCTGTAACTGGGCTTTGTACTCATTTACGAAAACAGGTCTTTAATTTGTAACAGAGCGTTTTCAGGGTGAAATATAGAATTTCAAGCCTCAGCAAAATCACTGGCATATGACCATCGCCGCCTGTTCTAAATCTTGCAGAGCCTGACTTCTATTAGATACAAAGTTGTACTTTTGAATCTTCTTATAAAACCCGACTTTCAATAAATACTTTGAAACTAACTAATTAGGAGTTTGCTTGCTGTCATCGTCTGGCTCAAGTTTGTCTTTCCAATGTCATATCTCATTCCTCTTAACGTACAACCCTTGGCCAGGGATATAGCTCAGTGGTATAAGTGCCTGTCTGGCAAGCACAAGGTCCTGAGTTGAACTTCTGGTACCAAAAAAGAAAAAGAAAAAAAAAGAAAGTACAGCCCATGTTTACTTATAATTCCATGAAATGCCCAAATTTCTTGTCTCACCTAGAGCCATACTGCCCACATCCACCACTTCTGTGGACCACACTGTGTCTTACATTATTCAGCTATCCCTTCCATTTTCCATGGACATCCTTTCTCTCTGCCTTCCACATCTTTTCACAGCTAAGTCGCTCTTTTGTCATTCAGGTAACCTGTGTACGATTTATCCTGTGTATTCCCTTCTGCATCAGCAATAGTTGATAGTTCAGCTGTTTTCCTCATGAGACTAAAATTTGTAGCAAGCAAGGGCAATATCCTTTTTAAATTTCTAAACAGGTACCTAATAAATACTTGTTGATACATGAATGCTTGCTAGAAAAACTGTTGGACAGTTTATTGAAAAGACAGCAAAAAATGTGCTCCTAAAAGGATTATATTAGGTTTGCTACATTTAATGATGACAGCCACCAGTAAAAGCTGTTTATAAATTTATCAGTAAAATACAGTTTATAGTTTCGGTATAGAAGCTCACCACCCAGCAAATCTTTTTAAAATTAACACTTATGTGGCTGTTCTATTCTCTCAGCCTCTGATTCGTTATATTCAGATTTGGAATGGGTGAAAACAGTCTAACTTACAGACCTTTCCTAGCTCTTACAATTTCAAAAAACATAGCTTTTAACATGCAAAAATTGTTATTTAAGCTAATTTAACATCATGTAGATTTATTTGTTCTCCAAAGGGAATGAAGCAAAAGTTTGGTTCAGAATTCAAGCACGCATAAACACACACATGCACCCACACATGCACACACATATGCACACACACAGAAAACAGCTATATGTGTGTGCTGTTTTGCATTTGCACTGGGAATGGAAGCTGTGACAAGGTGTTCATATCCCCCAGATTCATGTCCGAGGCATTCATTTGATGCTGTGCTATTAGCCCACATATAGAACGCACACCCGTTACAAAGATAATGGTACTCTCATTGTCATTTTGACTAATATTTTTCTGTCTCTGGTAATTTGTAGGTGTTATTTGGAAGATGGAGCTTCAAAGGGTGCCTGGCTGAACCGGTCAAGTATTATCTTTGCTGGAGGTGATAAGTGGTCAGTGGATCCTCGGGTTTCAATTTCAACATTGAATAAAAGAGATTACAGCCTCCAAATACAGAATGTAGATGTGACGGACGATGGCCCCTACACGTGTTCTGTTCAGACTCAGCATACGCCGAGAACAATGCAGGTGCATCTAACTGTGCAAGGTATGCGTTTCCGCAAGTTCTCTACTGTGAAGGGCCCTGCTTAAAATGTTTAATATTTACATTCCAAAATGACTCAGGTGCAGTGAACAATACTGGAAGTTGTATCATCATTGCCTGCAGAGAATTAGTTTGCTCGATACCGCTGAGGGTAAGAGGTATTACAGGGAGACGAACCCCCACTCACAAAGATCGAGAAATACCCATTAATGCCACATTGTGTTTTTGTACATGATTTACTTTGAATCTTTCTTTCAATTATCTCTTCAATAAATTTTTGAGAGCTCATAATAGGCACATTAAAATAAATATTTGAAAGCCTGCGATAGATACATTGAAATATTAAACTTTTTGAAATATGGATGATAACCGTTTAAAAGCAAATCCTCCCAGCCTTCCAACACCCTCTGTCTACCCTACTTCTGTTTGATTTGATTCAAGTTACAATAAAAATTGGAAGCATTCTAGAATTTTTTCATTTAAATATAGAGTAATTGCAAAATACGTACACAGTTCTTTCTGCTTTGATTTAATTTTGGGAGATCATAAATTATGCTATCTAATATATAATCTCCTAATACAGACAGAATCATTAAATTATTTTCCTTCTCTTGCATACTAAAATGTGAGAGCCTACATAGCTCCAATACAAATAATTTTCAATAAAATTGCAATTATAGAGCTAGCAAAATGAAAAAGTTGTATTTCTCCCTTTTCCATTATTTATTTGTGATCTACAGATGAACCCTGTTTTGTTTCCATAGAAATATTATTCTGCATGAAACTCAATTACACTGCAATATTTCTAAGTAAAATTAACACCAGGTTGTATGAAAACATGGTACCAATAGCATACATGTTCGATGTGCAATGTGAAAGTTGTGTGAACACCTTTATTGTACTATCTCTGAGTTATCTTTCAGTACTCTTAAAGAGCTTTAGTTCCTCAAAATAATAAATCTGAATTCTTACACACATCAACATTTTGATAAGATTAAACTTCTTTATTGAACAATTTGGCTTAAAGAGCAAAGTATAAACTGAGTAATTAATTCATGAATATCCTTGATAGTATTTCTTACTGCAGATTGTTGCAATGTGTAATGATGTTTATTATGTGTGAGGATTATATGACAAAATGACAAATTTTTCACAAAATCTATCTTCATTCCAGATTAGTCAGGGAATCCAGAGGACAGGTATTCTCCCAGCTTCAAAAACTGACATGAGATTGCAAGACACAAACACATTTCTTCTGTTATCCACAGATAATCTATTCTCATATTCAGCTTTTGCCTTTTGACCTGAGTTTCTAGACCTAGGACTGCAAAATTTTAATTTTCTGGGAAAAAGTCTACTTGGATAGTGATATGTTGGAGTCACTTAAGATACAGACATTTTACTTATGTGTTGTAAACCATCAATGATATATTCTGATTACTAAATATATCCTTTTTTCCTTTTCTATTTTGTCTTCTTCTGTGTTAGGCTTCTATTTTTACACCAGACTATGGCATACAGTAGATGTTTAATTCCCATAGGGTTTCTTTTTAATCTTATATTACCCAGATTATTTAATGCTGTTAAACAACTCTAAAAACTACAACATAACTTCCTATAGTTGTGTTCATTTTGCTGGCCATTTGATAACGGTGATCTTTTGAGAAGTTAAAAATGTTCTTATTAAATGTTGTGTCATTTTAATATTTTGTACCTTTAGAAATCAGCAAATCCACCTTACTGTTTTGAATATATATGGTGGGATCAAATTAAAAGTTAATAATTTTACAGTATTTATGCACATAATTACTTATTATAAGTTGATTGACATGTAAGCTGTTTTCCAATTACATTAATAAAGTTCACAGAATATTAATAGGCTTGTCAGTCAATTCAAGAACTAAATGTCATAAAAAGCCAACTCCACTTAAGCTACATTTCCTCTCAATGAGCAAAAATAAATGGGTGTACACATCTCTTCAGTTTCTAAATATCTTGAGTTGTGTGATGCTCAGGTGTAGATCAAGAGAGGTGAAGCATTTGCTCTTCTCCTAATGATTTGTCAATCCTTTATTCACCAAGACATAGAAAGTTAGCAAGGAGGGAGGACTCCATTAATCACTGATGGGAAATACTGACTAGTATTAACAAAGATCATCTACCTTTGTTGCAACCGTGTCCTTAAAGGAGATATGCTTTTGAAGATCATTCTTAAAAGAGGATATCAAAGTTAGTATTCTAACACTAGAGATGACAGGCACGGGAAATGTGTTGTTCTAACTTCTGTCTCACAGCTCTTAATAAAAATGAATAGAGCAAGAATGAAAGAAAACCCTCGAGTAGGAATCTGAAAACCTGCCTGCAAATCTCAAGCTTTCCTTCATAAAACAAAGATTACCATGAAAACAAACTCTCAATTTCTCAGTTGAAAGAGGACGACAAACAGCAGATCTTTAAGTCAAAAACCATGAGAAAAACAACCAAAACAGTCACAAAGAACACAAACCAAAATCAACTCTGCAGTGACTATTGAATTTAGACTTAAAAAGGGCAAAAAAAAAGCTCAATTTAATAAAAACTGTTCCATAACTAACTCATCTTGGGTACCATGCAAACTAAATTTTATGCCTAGAGTCTACGAGAATTTACAAAAGTGTCTCATTTCTTTTCATATTCTTCTTTCATGGACTCCACTGAGCAATCTAAGTACCCATGGAATTTAAAGAATCTGATCATTCAGAATTTGGCTTAATGTCCTGGTAACTGTTTAAGATGTGCAGTCACAAAATAAATGTTTTTTGTGACGTATATACAATTTCATACTGATAAAACAAAATTACCTAATTTCAGTGTTTCAAATCATGTGATGAAACATTTGTGGGTGTAAAGTACGCAAGACTGGTGAACTTGTGTGGAGATAGAACTCCCAATCATAACGCCAAGACAGGAAACATAAAATGTAAATGATGCTCATGTCAACATGCACTAGAAGAGCTCCAAAGCTGAGGGGTTCATAATGTGCAACAGGTAATATAGAGCAAAAACTAGACACTCACAGTTATTGCCTACAGAATGGTTATATAAGAAATGTTTATTGTTCTACTGATGCACTTTGGGGGAGTTATATTCTAGAAATTCTCTGCGAAGTAGAATATTTAAGTAGCATGTAACTCTATGATCAGAACAAACTCTCAGGTGCATTTGCCGTCTTAGGGTAGTGGCACGTCCTCAGGGTGTTCAATCCACCAGAGTATGTGTGGCAGAGGGGTGGCTACTCTTCCTTTTTCAAGGAAGTGATTGTTTCTCCAGCCACTGAGAAGGAAGTCATCAGACATCAGTCGGTGATTGGCCTCTTGGGAGATATCCTCAGTTGGAGAGAGCTATCTTGGCCAAAGTCAAGCCCTGGTACCATAGCCAACATCAGGTGACTGAGGTAAGGGGTGGAAAACTGCCTTTCAGCCTAAAGTAGGAGCCATTGTACTGCAGAGATCTGGACAGGATAGCTGAGCTGTGGCCTACCATGTACTACAAACCAGTTTCTCTATCTAGTCAGTCTTATTTCTTACCTCTCCCTAGGATTTGATTGCAAGCACATTCCTTAATAAATATCCTAAACTCTAAGCTCCACCTGGCCTCAGAATCTTCTAACCAAAGACTTTAAACTATAGCAGCATTAGGTCTTTGCCTGACTTTGTCATTGTTGTAGAAAAGCCTTTGTGAAGTGGAAAGACAACTCACTCCAACATCATTTATTATTAACATTCAGTGTTATTCTGCGAGGGGTTTAAAGTCGCTTATAAAGGACTTTTCAGCATAGTAAGATAAAAGGAGGAAATCGGAGCCACAGCACAAACAAGGTGAGAGGAGGGTGCCGTCAGAGGTGCAACTAGGTCATAGAATTCGTGCCATGGTTTCTATATACTTTCATAACTTGTGACTATTTAGTTCTGAGATTCCTAGCAGCCAGCACAGAGAAGCACAGGATCAGTAACTCATTTCACGGTCCATAACGTCTCAGTACCCTGATCCTCTTGTTCTGAATGAAGCATTTCTACTCTGAGTCATCCCAGAGAGGCCCTAGGGGGTGAGGAATATCACACAGGACACCCAGCAGGCGTTCACTGCGGAGTTCTCCATAACACCTTTCAGTGCAACCCAAAGTGCAGAGCAGAACAAAATTATAGAAAATTAAGAAATTAAAGAATTAAAGAAATTAAACAAAATTCCAACTGAATAGTACAAAGATAGCCTTCTTTTAATATTATCCTAATCTAGCAATACAATTAGTACCTGTCCTTGATACAAACCTCCACAAACACAATTTCTGTCAATGCATCTTTAAGTTATCAAGTAGTCATACATTAAAATTATACTTACCAGTGAGTATGAGAAGTATTATTCTATATAGTCAAAGATATGAATCTATATTATTTTAAAACCAGCACATGTTAATCTGCCGTTAACATTTTTCTGATGAACACCAAGGCCTGGATAAATTGCTCAGCTGAAGCCAGGGACAACACACTTCTGCTCCAGGTTCAGTTGATACACATACACACGTCAAAATACCAGTCTGCTTTTCCCAAAAGACTCACATGGGGAGAAAGTTGGAGTGGTCCCAAAAGCATGTTAAAATACCATGTACACTGGAAAATTCAAGTCATTGTTCCGCAACAGTGAACATTTCAAAATGGTCAACAAGAGACAAAATGAAATCAAAAGGAAAAAGAAATCATCACCCCTCAGAAAACTTTCACAGTGCCCACAAACGTCAAAGTATTCATTGTTTACTTGTGATGAGGGCTCAGAACAAGATCCTCTAACTGCTTCCTACTCTGTTTTGTTCAATACATCCTTCTGGTTGTGGGGAAGTTTAAGCTTATGTATATGAACTAAGTTTTGAACACGCTCCAAAACACAAAGAAACGGGCGGTTGATCTCAACCATGCACTTTTAGGACTTTTGGCATGGAAACAAAAAATAAACCACCTAAAGTAAAACTG